GCCTTTTTTTTTTTTTTTTTTTTTTTTTTTTGAACAAGCTCCATCTATTGGTGGGGAGCAACACCTGCTGGAAACCGGGTCCAGCGTCCCTGAGATACATCACGGAATTAATTAATACATATGAATGAAGAAAAAAAAAAAAGATGATCATGATAATGCTAATGATGCTAATGATGATGATGAAAAATATAGAATTGTACTATCTCAGTCATTCTGGCCTCCTAATCCTAGACCAACTCCTAACTTCAATTTGACAGAGCAAAACCATATCCTTCCACCACCTTCTATCGTAACCAGCTAAGCAACTAGCTCAGTGCCTGGCGGTAACCTACATAAGCGGGTACCATGCGGCACGCGGGTCTACTAAAACGTTCCACAACCATACCTCGGCCTATCATCTAAGCCCATGGCCGTCAGCCCCGCGTCTACCGTGCAGTCGCTCATTTCTACCCTTCCATCCTTGCGTTCCTTTCTGCTCATTTGGCAGAGTCGTGCCGTTGCCGACGTCGTCCTCCGTACCTATGCACATATCACGGTCAAGCGTATTAATCAAAATAAAACATCATTTAGTCCTACTTTAATCAAAATAAAAAATTGGCGGGCAAACACGCCAGCTTTACAATCATCAGCAAGAGAAGAGATCACGCGCGCCTTAAGTCTGCGCGCCCACACACTCTCTATTTCTAGTCAATCACTTAGTCAACGCTAGCCGAAACACAACCGCGACTCACGCAGTGTTCTCAGACTTTTAGGCCAAACTTATTTTCTGTCACTTGCAAAAGCCAGGGCGAATACCCTTGTAAGGGTACTCGCACCGACTGCGGGAGGAGCAGCAGGAGGGGGAGCGGGAGAAGGAGAGGAAGGAGGAGAGGGAGGAGGAGCGAGAGAAGGAGCGGGAGAAGGAGCGGGAGCAGGGCTATGGCGTGATCTTTGTCACATTGTTTGGCGGAGGAGCAGGAGGAGGAGGAGTGGGAGGAGCGGGAGAAGGAGCGGGAGGAGGAGTGGGAGAAGAGGCGGGAGAAGGAGTGGGAGGGGAAACGGGAAGGGGCGGAAGAGGCGCGGGAGGAGGAGCGGGAGGAGGAGCGGGAGGAGGAGTGGGAGGAGGAGAGGCAGGGGAAACGGGGAGGGGGTTAGGAGCGGGAGGAGCGCGAGGGGAAATGGGGAGGGGGTTAGGAGCGGGAGGAGCAAGAGGAGCGTGAGGGGAAACGGGAACGGGCGGAGGAGGCGCCGGAAGAGGAGCGGGAGAAGGAGCGGACGGGTTGAAAGAGGGGTAGGGGGGGAGAGAGCGGGGACATTGTTTGATTGATTGATTGATTGATCGATCAAAGAAAGAAAAAAAAAAGATCGCCCCATTCTCCTTTCTTGTTTTTGTTTTTCAATCAATCAAATCAACCATGTTCTAGCGGTAGATTCATTCGATTTTGCTCATCATATCGATGGGAGTACCACAAGACCAACATATTACCATGTTCAGGATGAAGATTCATTCTGATTTTGCTCATCCTACACACACACACAGACCGACATTGCCACGCTTCAGGGAATGAGCAAAATGGGGTTGAATCTTCCCCTAGAATATGGAAGTATCCGCTGCCACGACATCGAAATCCACACTGCCAAAGACCGAAAATGTGGCAGTGCATATTTCCATGTTCTTTTTTTTTTTTTTTGCAGTAGCCCTTTTTTCACTGAATATTTCATCCTCAATCATAACCATACCAACTCACAGGGACCAGAGATAATGAGGAGGGGGGGAATGGGTCTGCGAACATATTAGCGACCGATTCATTCCCATTTTGCTCATGGTGTGGATGGAAAACTTTCTCTCTCTCTCTCTCTCTCTCTCTCTCTCTCTCTCTCTCTCTCTCTC